GAAAAAACTCCTAAGGCTGGCTCATAATTCAAAATGGAATGTCATTTTTGGTAAAATAATGACGCTTGATCAACGAGACACGCTGTTGTTTCAAATGGCAAAATTTGTAGATAATATGTAAAGACTCTAGCGGCAGATTCCAGAATATTTGATTCTGTTTCGATCTCCAGAAAAAAACTTGCAATTAGTGGAACATAGGAGGCTGGGGGATATAATTTCTTTAGTGTGTCAGCACTGTCAACTTGGAGTATAAGGAAACATAACTGCTCCAAAGCTGACAACTGAAGGTCGGTAGACTCCTCCGTATTTGATTGCAGGAGGTCCAGAAGAATACGCCCGTCTTCAGAAGGCATTGCATAACTCGGGATATATAAAATCGCGCGTTTTGTTTACAGCGCGTTTAGTGTCTTGAGCTCAGTGACCAGGACAAACAAAGCATATAGGTTTGAATTAAAAGGGAGAAGTTATTTTTAACAATGTATCACTTTTTCTTCAAAAGTTTAAGCTGGCTGTTAAATTATATTCCAAGTCTTCTTCTGTCGAAAAATCTCAAGTCAAACGGATAAAAGGGCACCTGTTCGGTAGACAATGCTGCGTCAGGGTCGGTGAAAGGTGTTCTACTGCGTAGGAAGCTCGTAGTGGCGTACCCCAAGGGTCGTTGCTGGGTCCCACACTATTTCCCATATACGTTTTGGGTATCCCATCAAGACTTTTGTCCCCATGCCTTCTGTTTGCGGACGACCTCAAGGTATGGCATGTTATACGCAGACCCGAAGATACAATGGTATTCCAAAAGGATCTTAATGTGATCCATGAATGGTCATTGGAGATCAAGATACCGGTCAACGTAAACAAATTACACTTGGTGATAATTGGGAGAAACCGGGAAAACCCACCCTATACAATGGGCAACATGACAATGGCAGCTGCTGGGACTCGTGACTTGGGCGTTATCGTTCAATGCGACCGCAAAACCCGAGAACAATCAACTCTGGCGAGACGCAAGGGACTGGCACTACTTTGGATGTTCAAAAGAGCATTCACTTTCTGGTCCATGCAGTTATTCGGTAAGCTTATGGTCACATTCACCCGCCCGATCTTGGAGTATGGATCTACCGCTTGGTTCCCATGTACGAAGGTCGAGATGACCGATATGGAATATGTACAACGGCTGGGTCGAGAATGGTGCCCGAAGTGAGGTGGCTGACATATCCGGAGTGCTGTAAAGCAC